CATATAGCTAGATTAAACATTGCTTCTTTAACACCATTTTCTGCTGCTTTTTGATACCAGTAAAATGCTTTTTCTAAATTCTTTTCTGTCTCTTCTCTATTTTTATAACATATGCCTAAACTATTCATTGCTTCTTTATCACCATTTTCTGCTGCTTTTTGGTACCAATAAAGGGCTTTTCCTAGATTCTTTTCTGTTCCTTCTCCAATTTCATAACATATGGCTAGATTAAACATTGCTTCTTCAATACCATTTTCTGCTGCTTTTTTATACCAACGAATGGCTTTTTTTAAATTCTTTTCTGTTCCTTCTCCATTTTCATAATATATAGCTAAACTATTCATTGCTTTAATATGACCATTTTCTGCTGCCTTTTTATACCAATGAAAGGCTTTTTTAAAATTCTTTTCTATTCCTTCCCCAATTTCATAATATATAGCTAAACTATTCATTGCTTCTTTAACACCATCTTCTGCTGCCTTTTTATACCAATGAAAAGCTTTTTCTAAATTCTTTTCTGTTCCTTCCCCAATTTCATAACATATAGCTAAACTATTCATTGCTTCTTTAACACCATCTTCTGCTGCTTTTTGGTACCAGTAAAATGCTTTTTCTAAATTCTTTTCTGTTCCTTTTCCATTTTCATAACATATGGCTAGATTAAATATTGCTTCTTTAACACCATTTTCTGCTGATTTTTTATACCAGCAAAATGCTTTTTCTAGATTCTTTTCTGTTCCTTTTCCATTTTCATAACATATGGATAAATTAAACATTGCTTCTTTATCATCATTTTCTGCTGCTTTTTGGTACCAATAAACTGCTTTTTCTAAATTCTTTTCTGTTCCTTTTCCATTTTTATAACACACAGCTAGATTAAACATTGCTTTAATGTGACCATTTTCTGCTGCTTTTTGATACCAATGAAGAGATTTTTTAAAACTCTTTTCTGTTCCTTCCCCAATTTTATAACATATGGCTAAAATATTCATTGCTTCTTTATCATCATTTTCTGCTGCTTGTTGATACCAATAAACTGCTTTTTTTAAATTCTTTTCTGTTCCTTTTCCATTTTTATAACATACAGCTAGATTAAACATTGCTTCATTAACACCATTTTCTGCTGCTTTTTGGTACCAGCAAAATGCTTTTTCTAAATTCTTTTCTGTTCCTTTTCCATTTTCATAATATATGGATAGATTAAACATTGCTTCTTTAACACCATTTTCTGCTGCTTTTTGGTACCAGCAAAATGCTTTGTCTAAATTCTTTTCTGTTCCTTTTCCATTTTCATAACATAAGCCTAAAATATTCATTGCTGCTTTGTTATCATTTACTGCTGCTTTTTGATACCAGCAAAATGCTTCTTCTAAATTCTTTTCTGTTCCTTTTCCATTTTCATAACATATGCCTAAACTATTCATTGCTTCTTTATCATCATTTTCTGCTGCATTTTTATACCAATAAAATGCTTTTTCTAAATTTTTTTCTGTTCCTTCTCCATTTTCATAACATATGGCAAGGTTAAACATTGCTTCCTTAATACCATTTTCTGCTGCATTTTGATACCAGCAAAATGCTTTTCCTAAATTCTTTTCTGTTCCTTTTCCATTTTCATAATATATGGATAGATTAAACATTGCTTCTTTAACACCATTTTCTGCTGCTTTTTTATACCAACGAAAGGCTTTTTTTAAATTCTTTTCTGTTCCCTTTCCAATTTCATAATATATAGCTAAACTATTCATTGCTTTAATATGACCATTTTCTGCTGCCTTTTTATACCAATGAAAGGATTTTTTTAAATTCTTTGCTGTTCCTTCCCCAATTTCATAATATATAGCTAAACTATTCATTGCTTTAATATGACCATTTTCTGCTGCCTTTTTATACCAATGAAAGGCTTTTTTTAAATCCTTTTCTATTCCTTCCCCAATTTCATAACATATGGCTAGATTAAACATTGCTTTAATGTGACTATTTTCTGCTGCTTTTTGATACCAATAAAAGGCTTTTTCTAAATTCTTTTCTGTTCCTTCTCCATTTTCATAACATATGGCTAGATTAAACATTGCTTCTTTAACACCATTTTCTGCTGCTTTTTGATACCAATAAAGTGCTTTTTCTAAATTCTTTTCTGTTCCCTTTCCATTATAATAGCAAATTGCTAAATTAAACATTGCTTCAATATGACCATTTTCCACTGCTTTTTGATACCAATAAAAGGCATTTTTTAAGTTTTTTTCTGTTTCTTCTCCAGTTATATAATTATTGGCTGAATTAAACATTATTGCTTTATCACATTTCTTACACCATAGTTCTTTGGTAAAATGTTTATTGCAATATGAACAATTTTTGGAATTTACGTTATTGGTATTTTTATTCAAGATACTTGATTTACTAAATCTGGTTTCCATTCAGTTATGTAATGGATTTATTTTATTAAAAAAAAAATTTAATAGACAATTATTCTGTTGAGCATGAGTTATTAAAAAGAAATAATTTAGCCAAAAATATTTTTTATACAATATTATTTATGGCAAGTCGACGAGTCGTGCTTGACAAAAGTGTGCTGCACTTTACGGCAGGTACAGCAGGTACAACAGGTATCACGGCAGATGTTGCAGCAGGTACAGCAGCAGGTACGGCGGTGTTGCAGCAAGTACAGCAGCAGGTACAGCAGGTGTTGCAGCAGGTACAGCACTGGATTAATTATTAGAATCCATATACATAACGCATAGAGCTGACCCAAAAGTTTATAGTAAGAAAGTGGTTTGGCATTTTTTTTTAAATTTTAAATATAAAAATGCTGAAACTTTTTATATTCAAATTATTAAGAAAAAAAAAGTTCAAAAAAAAAACGTTTTTTATTTTTTTCTTAATGAAAAAAAAGTTGGGTTCAACGTTTTTAGAAAAATTTAAAACTTCTTTTATTTCTTTTATCGCGTTTGATGTTTATTATTTTTTTTTTAATGAAAAAAATATTTTTAGATAATTTTACAAAAATCCCGCATAACACGAGATCACGTGATTGTTTATTGATTTGTTATGATTTTTATATAAACCCTTACTTGATCTTCCGATCTTCCTTTCTGTCTTTCTCTTTTCTCTTGTCTTATTTTTGTTATTTTTTCTAAAATTTTCTTCTTTCTTCGTCACCCCCTTTTTAAAAAAAAAATTTTTTTTTTCGTACCTCACTTTAAAAAAGTTTTTTTTTCGTCACTCTCCTTTAAAAAAAAATTTTTTTTCGTCACCCTTAAAAAAAAAAAATTTTTTTGATTTTATTCTTTTATTCCCACTCTTCTTTTTTTTTAAAAAATTTTTTTTCTTTCTATTTCTATTTCCTCTCTAAAAAAATTTTATTTTTCTAACTTTGACGTCCTCCCTTTAAAAAAAATTTTTTTTTAACTTTTCTAACTTCGTTACCCCTCTTTTAAAAAAATATTTTTTTTTGATTTATTCTTTTTCCCCTTTCTTTTTATTTATATTTATCCCTTTTTTTATTTCATAGGCCAGCAGATTTTTTTTTGTGAGAAGATTCAGTTTTCTTTTTTCTTTTTGTAGATCAGTTTGGGAGTCCTTTCCTTTTTGGGAAACTTTTTGCTCAATATACTCCAGTCTATTATAAAAAACACCAAGGATAAAGCCTGAGGCGATCGTGGTATACTTTTGTTTATAACAACCTTTTGTACTCGGTCGACCGGTTGGGTTATCGTTAAACTCCCGAAATTCCTACATTGTCTTTAAGTTATATATGTCCGTCAAAAACCTTTCTTCAAAATTCTCAAAACTTGCAAGAAACGCCTCCATAAAGTCATTTGTGACCTCTTCCCGAGTTAAAACTATATTTTTCGACATTTTGTATTATAGTTTTATGGTATTTTTTAAAAAAATATTGCTTTATTTTTTGTTGGACCAAAAATTACGGGAGAGAGTTTTTCTCTCATTTTCATGCCGACCTTAATTTATATATTTTTCAACCACAATTTTCATTTTATTTATATTATTAAAATTATAAAGTTTTCAGAGCAACTCTATTAAATGTATTCAATAACATATCAATAAATAAGGTAGGATGTTATAGATATATAATCCTTCTAATTATTTACATTATTTGGCTAAAAGTAATTCAAGGTTATCAAGATATTGATTATTTAAACAATTCTAACATATTTAAGATTGTGACAAAATTGAGAAATAAATGTTCAGAATTATATAATAATATATTATAGCAACGAAACAAGATATATAAGAACCTGAAACTCAGAAAGAACAATAATTATTGTATATTAATTAATTATGAGAAAAAGATTTCAAAAAAATCCTTAATCACTCCAATGATTTCTTGTCCAACATTAACTCAATCGAAAAAAGATATAGCTCGAAAAATAATCAGCCCAATATTATAATGCTTCGATCATCTGACGAACCCAAACATTTGATTGGCTATCAGGTCATGTGGACGTTCCGACACCCATTTTCATTATTAATCAACATTTCTTTTTTTTTTTGCTAATGCGATCGACGACTTTTTTCCTTTCAGTTTCTTTAATGGTTAAACCAACTAAATTTTTTAATTGTTTTTTTTCGTTAGACTAAATTTTTTTTTGGTTTTTTTTCGGTTAAACCGAAGTTAAATTTAATAAATAAACTAGAATATGCATTTTGTAGGGAACTTCGTCCCCCATTGTTTAATTTTTTGTATTAAAATATTGAAATCAAATCCATAAGTTGCATTTTGCTACATACCCTTTAAGAGAATAGTTTAAAAATTTTTTTCAATCAAAATTTTATTTTTTATAAACCAAAAATATATTTTTTTTAAAAAAAAGATAATTGAGATGCAAGTACATTTGACGAATTTTCTTTTCCCCAATCCTTTGCCTATTCTCATTACTAACTTTTTTCTCATCCAAGAAGCGTCTGTCTCCCTATCCTCTGATGTCTTGGGGTTGGTATCAACAGTTTCACAATCAGGCTTACACTGCTCGATCCAAAACGAAGTCGGGTAAATTGGTAGGTTTTTCGAAAAGGAAATCATTCTGTGGTTGTCTAGAATCCTGTTCCGACTTCGCAACTCTAGCAACATTCTCAGCGTCAAGCCTAGCATTCTCAGCAATAATATCTGTCCTTCTCTTCTTCAACTCCTCGATTCTGGCCTTATGCTTGGCTCTTAGTTTTACAATCTCATCCATAGCCTCGTAGTACTTGGCCTCAAGCTCGAAATTCTAGGCCTCAAGTTCAGCTTTTTCATTCTAAATCTCATTATTCTCGGATTCAAGATCATCTTTCTCAGCCTTAACCTTAATGATCTCAGCCTCAACAATAATTTTTAACCTGGATGACATGATCGATTATAATTTTATATACAAGGATTACAGTATTCAATGTTACGTGGCAAATGTAAAGACGCTTTATTAATACAATGTTACGTGGTAAATATAAGGACGCTTTATTAATATGAAATAAAAAATAAATACATATTTGGTCTTAACCCGTAATAACGTAATATTTATATGTACATATAATGGGAAAATAAAATTTTATCGTTCTTAATAGTATATCCAAGCTATCAATGTAATTTAATAAGCCTGTGTAACAAGAAAGAATTTTGATCACGTTTCATCATTTGTTACTGATGATTACACATTCAGACTTTATAAACTGATAAAATGAGTAATATCAAAATTAGTTCATAAAAAGGTTGAGTATTATAAAAAGTAAGTTTTGAGTGTATAAAAAGATTGATTATTTAATTTAAAACCAATTGCTTCTATCAAATAATAAACAATTCAAAATGAATTATTTAGTTTTCGCTAGAGAATACAAAAATATATTTCCAGATGCTTCACCTGATGATGTCAAGCAAGCTTACGAAGTTAGTCAAAGAAATGACAATTTAGGTAAGTTTGCATCCAAATATCTAGCCAACACGAATATGACATTTACTCAGCTGTGTAGTATTTGTTGTTAATATGAAGCTAGTACTGTGACTTATACAGAGAAATCTTTTCCTTTTAGTAAACGTGGGGTCCGCCAACGATATATATATATTTGTAAATAATTCAAATCTTTTTTTTGAAGGAACTCGTTCAATCCGTCGATGTGAGGGTTTAGCTAATAACGCCAAACTTACTATTGATTATGGAAGACTGCTTGAAGTCATTCAAGGTGATCGTGAATTAGGTCAGCATCCAATTCTCGTTGGTTATAAACCACCATCCAGAGATACATTATGGGAACGTGTTCGAAATGCTGGGTATGATATAATCATTTTTGATCGTTGGGATTATCATGAGAAAGATGTTGGTAATGTAATTGGGTACTTGATTGATGAAGTAATTTTCACAAAGACTCCTGCTACGATTGCACTTGTCTCGGGTGATGGTGATTTTTATTGGAATGTCAAAGTAGCCCTAGAACGAGGCTGGAATGTAGAAATTTGGGCTTGGAACTCAGGTGTTAAATGATTGTTGTTTTGTTCTTTCTCAACTCTATTTCTAAACCCGTTTATGTTATTATTAGGTTTATCATTTTATGCCAAAAATATTTTGCCACCATTTCTTAATACAACTTTTATGCCACTTGAGGAATTTTATAGATATTTTTCATGGTGTTATGATAATGTTAGTAAAGTTGGAGAAATGAGAGTTCTAAAGCTTGCTGACGGAAATGCGAATCGGAACTGGGGGAGTAATGATGTGATGGATTGTTTTGTAGAGCTGAATTTATTTGGGTGGTGGCACCGAGATCGACCAGGAATTCTGCTTTTATATTTTAGAAATCAGAATGAGATGCAGAATGCACAAGCATGGTTGAGTAGGAATCACCCTGAAATATGGGCTGGGGAATTAGTAACAAGACGGCGACATTCAAGACATAATAATAACTAAATAATGTATGCCTATATGTGATGTTGTGTGTAACTGAATAAAAATAAATGTAAATTTTTTATATTAGCTATTTTTCAACTAACTGTCTAATATAAATGCAACTGATTTGTGATTATATAAATTAATATATATTTAATACTAACCCATTTAATCTAGTTGAAATTTTGGTACTGATCCTAAATTTTTTATTGAACGACAAGGCTTTTATTTACCCTGATTTTAACCAACTTTAGTATTACACTGCAGGATAAATATTATGCAATTAAAATATCCATAGCAAGAAAGGTTTTTATAGTTTACCTATTTCACAATTGATTTTAATAATTTCTAAATATTGACAACTATCTAAATTCTGGTAAGGTGATAATCACCAGCGGTGATATTTAACAATACTCTAAAAAAAAAATGAAAAAAAAAATTAAATTTTGGTGGTTTAAAATAAAAACCAAAATAAAAAAATAAAATTATTTTTAATGTTCCCAATTCACTATTTTTAAATTACAATAAAAAGTTTTCTAAGAACTAAACAAAACTTAGTAATAGCTAAATTTATTGAATTATTGTTATTATAACCAGTATATTCACATAAATAAAATTCCTTTTTAAAGTTTTTTTTCCATTATTCTCTAAAAATTTTATTAATAATTCACTTTTTAGACATATTTAAATTTGTAATTTTAAAAGTAGTATATTGTGAAGCTTCAAAATCTTAAACTGTATGAATTCTAATATTTAAGTTCTTGGTAAGTCTGTAAATTTAGCGGTAAAGGATGCTTTTCAAAAAGTGATCTAAATTGATTAAGGTATTAGGAAGTTTTGTCATTAACGAATTAATTTTATCATCATCAATATCATTCACTAAAGTAAAGTATTTTAAACCTTTCTGATCAAGAAATTAAATCTATCAAATTAACTGAAATATAACGTTATTATACTATGACATATTTGAGATAATTGAAATTGAAGTCTTTTTTTTTTTACAATAACTTTCACTTAAAAGATCTTTTAAAAGTATGTCAAACTCCCCCATGAAAATGACCTCTTGTTGTAAAATAATTTATATGTAACACCGCGTGATAAGATAAAAGCCACATTGATTAGTGAAATTAGTCAATCGTACGGCCACTCGTACGACCTGAAAATTACGTAACATTAATTCACTGATTTTTGATAAATTACTTTTTTTACTATTTTTATTTAACTTATTTATATTATATTTAATTATTACTTGTAGAACTAGTAGATTGTTTATTATTTTGTAAAATTATTTGCTTCAAATCTTGAATTTCTCGTTTAAGTATTTGTATTTCATCATTAGCAATTGGAACAGATTCTCGTCCGTGATTGTAACTCGTATTAATTATTGTAGCTGGAGCGAGAGGTTGTACTATTTCTTGTCCAGGGTAATAATTACTTTCATTTCTATTTCTATTTATATCATTATTTATCACTTCAGGTTGTTGTACAATTTCCTGTCCGGGATAATAATTATTTCTTTCAGTTTGATAATTATTATTACTATTTTCATTTCTATTTCTATCTATATCATTATTAATTAATGAAGCTGGAACGGGTAGTTGTACTGTATCTTGTACGGGATAATAACTATAATTTTCTGCTTCATATTGATTATAATTACTTTCATTTACAATTCTATTTCTACATCGTCTAAATAAATAGGCTCCTACAATTAATAATACAACACCACTAATCAAAAATACTACAATTACGCCAATTTTACTTGAAATATTATTAGAATCTTTGCTATAATATCCAGAATAAACTGATGGTGATGAAGATGGCGAAGTTGGCAACGGTATGGGAGCTGTTTTTGACGCTCCTGCTATTTTTGATGGTACTGCTGATGTTAATGCTACTACTTCGCCTAATGATAAAGATTTAAATTCATTCGTCCATATATATTCGTTTATATTACTGATGTCAAGTAACAGAATATCATTTTCATTATTTTTCTTATAATCTAATCCTATTAAAATTTATTATAACTTGGTTAATAATTTTATTAAACTAATTTAAATAATAGTTTTAAAAGTATATTTACCAAATGATAATACCATATAATTTCCAATTACATTTGCTTTATGATACCTTCGGGACTCCGGAATTGACCCAGAAAATTTCGGGATACGCCATTCAAAATTTATTAAATTTAATTCATGAAGTTGATCTGGCGACGCAGTGAGAAAACCTCCAAAGGTGATTACTCTTTTACCATCTAATCCTATTAAAATACAATTACATCTTATTTTAAAACACAGAAAATAGTTTGATAATATTATTGTTTATATACATACCAAGTACAGCGGATCCTCCATCTTTTCTAGGTGGTATCGTACCTGTAGTTGTCTATAATTTAATAATGAAAATGCTTAGTAGTAGTAAGTCTTTTACAATTAATTGATAATTTATAATTACTTACTTTCGTACTCCAATTATTGTTTACTGTATCATATATATAAACCTATATAAATAATTAGTTAAACTAACCCAGAACAAAATTTTATCGGATAAAACAATAACCTCAAATCGGAATTTATTTATTGATTTCTATACCTCTGCTAAACTACCGGTACTACTATCTAAATAAAAATAAAAAAATGACATATATAAAGATAGTAAATACAAAGAATTATAGAATTACTTTGCTTACCTAGATAAATTATCTTGTTATCAGGCAATAAAATGGAAGTAATCTCCAATCCCATATTTTGTGTACCAATAGGACTTGCTTTTTTCCAAACTAAGTTTATTGTATCTAAAATATTAATATTAAATCCACTCCAGATATAGAAATCTATCATTCCATTATGGTTTATAGCTGTCATCTCATAATTTAAAAGAAACGACGGGTTTTCTCCTGCTATTTTTGGAATACTCCATGAATTACTTCGTGGATTAAATGTGTTAATTGATTCCATTTTAGGATATTTGGCATTACTGATGCCTACTAATATAAACAACGTATCATTATTTGCGCCACCTATCGCGGATCCAGAATTATAATGAGGAGAAAGGGTATTAATATTTGATAAATCATTCACTTTTAAATTTTGAGTATTAAATGAGACAGAAAAATCGATATAAAAAAATTCATTTCCAATTTCTTCAAGTGGGAAACCACCCAAAATATACAATTTTTTATCAAAAAGCGTTGCAGTATGACCACGCCGTTCTTTTAGTATATAGGGTGATATTTGGCAATTTATTTCAATAAATAATTGAAATAAAAACCAAAATGTAATAATATAAACTCGATGTATTTGCAACATAACAGCACTTCTTTTATTTTTTTTTTTTTTTAAAAAAAAAAA